AGCTATTCTCTAATCACAGACAGAGCCACTACTTGCCTGCACAATGTGTCCTGGAAAATGTATGAGAAACTCAAGACCCAGGAATAAAATACAATAGTCGTGTCTTCATCAACATTTACTCTTTCTTTCCTCATGTTTGTACCATATCTTAGGCTCCCAATCATCAGTTTCATAACACTGTCATTACTGTAAACTCTTCATTATTATTTTTTTTAACTTGCTGAAATAAATCACATATTCAGTATATCTGTTTTTTTTTCTCCAAACTTACTCTAAAAGATCATCTTCTGTAGAGCCAGGTCAAATGATTCTTCCATGAATTAATTTGGTTTTCCAAAGGTTCATTTTTGGGTTTCTCACTCCATTTGTTCTCAGCTTCTCATCAGGTAATACTCTCTGGATTTACCAGGACAATCGCCATCTATAAGTAGCTTAAAACCATATCACTTCTTCAGACTTTCTTCTAAACACTGGCAAGTGAACTACTTGTGACAATATTCCTCAAAAAAGTGTATACAACTGAACTCATTGTGACCTCCATGAAGCAATAGTGAATTTCATTTGTTTTTTTTCTAGACAAAAAAAAGAGAGACAACTATTAAGTTTTGATAACCACAAATTCTGGAATCAACTTTAAAATAACTCTTTTCTGGGCAGTTCAGATAGAGGAGGGAGCACCAAATAAAGGGTGTTGGGAAAATCTGCCCAGGATGAGAGATGCATGCTGAAAGTAGACTATAGACTGAACATAATTGCCACTCAATGCCTCTTTTGCAAACCACAAACTCTTTTCTTTGCCTTTTTTTATGTAGGAGTATTGCTGTTTATTTATTTTTTAAGAACAGAATATGAGGTTTTATTAAGAAATGGAGAAGTGTTAGTTTTTTTTAAAAATTTTATTAGTGAAACACCATGGGGTACAGATACAAATTTTTGTGCTTGGGTTTTAATTATACAATGATCAAATACCCATCCCTCCACCAGTGCCCACTTTCTAACACTACAGGACCCAGTATCCCTCCCACCCCCCCCCCGCCCCCCCATCCCACCCTGCCTCTGTAGCAGGGCATTCCCTTTTGTTCTCTCTCTCCTTTTGGGTGTTGTGGTCTGCAAAAGAGGCATTGAGTGGCAAACATGTTCAGTCCATAGTCTACTTTCGACATGTATCTCCCCTCCTGGGAGGATCCTCCCAACACCCTTTATTTGGTGCTCCCTTCTCTATCTGAGCTCCCTTTTCCCCTAGCATGTGCTGCTGGTCTCCAATCCATGGAACAAACCTCCTGGTACTAATCTCGGCCAGTCTTGGGTGATAGTCTCCTATTTTGTTACTTTATGTTTCCCAATTGAATGCAATATTTCTATGTCTATTCCTCTCTTTCTGACTCATTTTGCTTAACATGATACTTCCCATGTAGTACCACTTGTATGTAAATTTCATGACTTCATCTTTTCTAACAGCTACATAGTACTCCACTGTGTAGATGTACCAAATTTACTTTAACCAGTCATCTGTTCTCGGGCACTCAGGTTTTTTCCAGATTCTTGATATTGTAAAGAGTGCTGCAATGAACAAACAAGTGCAGATGTCACTTCGACTATACATTTTTGCCTTTCTGGGATATATTCCCAGGAGTGGTATTGCTGGGACAAATGGGAACTCAATTTCTAATTTTTGGAGAATCATCCACACTGTTTTTCAAAAGGGCTGAACCAGTCGGCATTCCCACCAGCAGTGAAGGAGGGTCCCTTTCTCACCACATCCGAGCCAACACAGGTTGCTTTTGTTCTTGTGGATGTGGGCCAGTCTCCGTGGTGTGAGATGATATCTCATTGTGGTTTTGATCTGCGTCTCACTGATGATTAATGATGTAGAGCATTGTCTCATGTGCCTTTTAGCCATTCGGATTTCTTCTTTGAGAAGGTTTCTGTTCATTTCGTCTCCCCATTTTTTTGATGGGGTTGGATGTTTTCTTCTTGCGGAGTTCAACCAGTACTTTGTATATCCTTGATATCAACTTCTTGTTGGATGTGTATTTGGCGAATATCCTTTCTCATTCTGTGGACTGTCTTTGTATTTTGGTCACGGTTTCTTTTGAGGTGCAGAATCATCTTCCTGATTCTATTGAGGTATGTTTTGTGGCCTAGTACATGGTTTATTTTGGAAACTGTTTCGTGCATACTGGAGAAGAATGTGTATTCTTTCTTTTTGGGGTGTAAAGCCCTGTATAGTCTATAAGCCCTTTCTCTTCTATTTCTTCTGTCAAAGCCAATGTCTCCTTGCTTGGTTTTGCTCTTGTTGATCTATCCAGATGAACCAATCAGGGCATTCAAGCTCAATACATCAAGATCCTCCATGAGCTGTATTGCAGATTCACTATCAGGATCTCACCAATCTACAAAGAAGTAATCATTGATGTCAAGAGAGCGGTTCGGCAGGGTGATACCATTTCACCAGAACTCTTCAGTGCCACCCTCGAGAACATCATGCGATGACTGGAATGGGAAGGAATGGGAGTGAAGATAGATGGTCAGCAACTACACCACCTCCACTTTGCTGAAGACATTGTTCTAATAACACCAAATATCAGCCAAGTGGCACAAATGCTGGCCAACTTCGACCCTGAATGTGGAAAGGTCAGTCTACAGCTAAATCATACGAAGACAACGTTTATGAGAAACAGCCTCGATCCTGACATCCCATTTGCTCTCAACGGAACGACTATCTCCGAATGCAACAGCTATGTGTACCTAGGTCGAGAAGTCAACATGACAAATGACCTGGCACCCGAGCTGCACAGGAGGAAGAGAGCGGCTTGGAACGCCTTCAAGAGCATCGAAGAAACAGCTTGGAGGACGAAGACCCTCTGCCTCTGGGCACATCTCTTTGATTCCACTGTTCTTCCTGCATTAACATATGCTTCAGAGACCTGGGCCCTACGCAAACAGGATAAGAACGCTATTCGCATCTCCAAAAGAGGAATTGAGAGAGCTATGCTTGAAATATCACGTTTCACTCAAACGAGAGAAAGAATCCAGAGTTCCGACATCCATTGGCTATCAAGAATCAGGGACGCTGTCTTGTTTGCCAAGGTGTCAAAAATCAGATGGGCTGGTCAAGTAATGAGATTTAAAGATGACCGCTGGACTAGAGCTGTTACCGACTGGATTCCACGGGATGTCAAAAGACCGCATGGCTGTCCACCTACCAGATGGTCAGACTTCTTCATCAAGATCATGAACGATCTCTTCGTGTTCCTATAGCGAACAGATGCCATTGGGCTACACTAGCACGCGACAGGGACAAATGGAGACGTTACTGGTGTCCACTCGAGCAAATCGCCGATTAACTGGAAGTCAAGTGATCAAGTGATCTATCCAGAGGTGATAAGGCAATGTTGAAGTCTCCAGCTACTATTGTGTTGCTAGCAATGTCCTCCTTTAAATCTTCTAGCAGTTGTTTTAAATATTTAGCTGTTCCCTCATTAGGTGCATATACATTTAAGAGTGTGATTTCTTCCTGTTGTACGTATTCCTTGATGAAGATAAAATAGCCTTCACTGTCCCTTTTAATCTTTTTCAACCTGAAATTAAGGAGTATTTGTCTTTATTCAGCCACCAATTAGCTGATTGAATTTGGCATGAACTTCACTTTACTGTTTTTTAATTTTTATAATATTATTTATTGAATCACTATGAGAGCAGTTACAATGCCTTTGGGTTTAAGTCTTGGTCAGACAATGAAACACCCATACCTTCACCAGTGCCCATTCTCCACCACCAAAAACCCCAGTATACCCTCATCCACACCCTCCCCCTACCTGTGGAGCAGATGATTTCCACATTAGTCTCTCTCTACTTTGATCACATTCAATATTTTGACTCCAGACCCACCATTATTATTTGGGATTTTAACCCAACACTCAGATCTGCTGAAAAGGCAACAGTAGACTATTTCTTTTCTATTGCTTATTAAGAATAACATATGATGTCACGTGGCTGCAGTAGTGGCCGCACAATTTTGAAATTTCAAAATGTTAACAATTAAATCTGGAGGGATTCCTGTCAAAACCTGCTGGGTTCCAAGATTTTTTCCTGAGTCTCTGTGATCATGGCCATTCAGCAGCTTGATCAGGAGCCAGAAAGGCCGTTGATTGATGGTGACTTGTGGTCTCATTGGGACTGGGAGGAAAGGGCCAGCTCCACCCCCATTCAGTGAGGCCCCATGTGTCTTGTCACTGAGGGCCCAAACCTGACTGTCCAGTTGTCTCTAAAGGATGGCAGCCACCAAGCCACCTAGGGGAAGCAGGCAGAGTGATAGCACTCTGGGGTGGCCAGGTGACAGTAATCTACTGTGGGTCTGGACGCATTTCAGCCAAAACCCGCTGGGTTTTGAGATTTGTTTCTGAGTCTCTAGGATCATGGCCATTAAGCAGTTTAATCAGGAACCAGAGAGGCCATGTTTCTAATGATATAACTGAGCCCGAGGTGGTTTCTGGGTGTGTCTCCCACATACCAAACTTTTGGCCGTTTACTTTCTTGGTAAACTTTGCCCCAAGTTTTTGGGGTCTGGCCAAAGGCACAGCAGCAATTTTGGGGTATCTGGAAGTCTGAAGGCACCATCAGGCTGCTGATGCACTCGCCTAACAGGTACAGATTGACCTGCTGGCGGCACCATACCCCCTAAAATAAATCTTTTCTGTACCAAGTTCAATACCAAAAATATGCATGTATCAATTATGTCACCATTTCCACTTCTAGTCTAAACTTATGTCATCACTCAGTTGGACCAGTGCAATTCTTTAGCATGTTACCCTTGGAATGATTCTCAGTACATACAGATAGAGCATGGTTTTCAACTGCAAGCATGATTGTTTCAGTTGTCTCGTTAACTCCTCAGTCACTGTCACTGTCACTGTCATTCCGTTAATCATCAATTTACTCGAGTGGGTGCTAGTAGCACCTTCATTTGTCCCAGCCCTGAGATTTTAGCATCATAAACTTTATGCTCTCTCTTCATGGATGCAGCCCGCCAGCTGGATGCCCTTGTGCATAATGGTGATGTGCTTGGTGGGGAATATGCAGAGGTTGGTATCTTCTAAGAGCCCCACCAGGTAGACCTCGCATGCCTCCTTCAGTGCCATGAGGGCCAAGCTCTGGGAGCGCAGGTTGGTGTTGAAGTCCTGCCGAATCTCGTGCACCAGCTGCTGGAACGGCAGCTGGCAGATAAGCAGCTTGGTAGACTTCTGGTAGTGGCGAATCTTGCACAGTACCATGGTGTCAAGCCTGTAGCAGTGTGGCTTCTTCACACCACCCGTGACTTGCGCACTCTTGCAGGCCACCTTGGTGTCCAGCTGCTTGCCTGGTGCCTTCCTGCCCATTGACTTGCATGCCTTCTGCTTAGTATGAGCCCTCTGGAGACTCCTTCAGGGTTAGGGAACTGAGACCCATTTTAGCACTGTTATTGGCATATTTGGTACATCATGGGTAGCTTATCAGGCCCAGCCTTGCAGGCGGGATACCCACGGTAGCTTTTGGGGAGATCTCCAATTGTCCCTGCAGGTGTTCCCAGTCTACTTAATGTAAGTTCCTGGTGACAGGCCTGATGTAACAATTTAACAATGTAGCACTGTAGCACTGTCCTCCCATTCTTCATCAGTTTGCTCAGGGGGCACCTTCTCCATTGTGAGACTTGTTGTTACTGTGTTTGGCATATCAAATACACCATGGGGAGCTTGCCAGACTCTGTCATGCGGGCGGGATACTCTCCGTAGCTTGCCAGGCTCTCTGAGAGAAACGGAGGAATCGAAACTGTAGCCCTCAATAACATCCCAAATTGTGCTTACAAGAAAGAACTCCCTAATATAATCTCTCTTGGTCTGTGTAGCCTGACGTGTTAATTTTCTAGCACTATCTCTACCTTCACTTCTTGTGCTATTTTTAATTTTCTGTCTGTGGTCGATTTACCTAGCCCTTGTATTCTTGGTTCTCTTACTTGGTTCTCTTACAACAGTGTACCTTTCCCTCTTTTATTCCAGTACTTACCACATAAATCTCCATATTGTAACATTCGTGTCAATTCTCACATTCATCCCTGGCAAGGCAAACTAGCTCTAATTTCCCATTTCATGCTTTCATGGCCCCAGGTACTCCCTTTTAATTATATATGCAACAGTTATACAAATTGCTTTTCCCTTGTATATATCTCCACAAAAATTTAACTCCAAGGGCACCGTGTGATATTCCCCTATTATATTTTATGATTTTTATCTAATCACTTATGTCTTATTAATATATCTATGGGATGTGCCTGTAAAAGTGTGTGTGCTGTGTTTGTGTAGCTCGAGAAAAAAAAATTGTTCAGACTCATTCTGATGATATTTTAACAATTTATATTTGGTTGTTTTGAAACCTTAGAAAACAATCCACTCCTTCCTTATCAGAGCCATTATTATCACCATCTATATTTCCTGAATGCTTACCAGATGTTAGACATTAGCCAATGAACCAATTATGCACTGATTATTTTATTTTCTCATTTACTCTATTTTCCCTAGAACTAAATATTATCAAGAAGAAGATACAGAGGGTAGGAGCTGTAAATCCAGATGAAGCCATATTGCCTCCCAGTTTTATAGATGGATTTTATTTTCAAGCTTCTCTAAGAGAAATCCCCAGTTTTGCCCATGAGAATTAGTAACGCTAATAACACAAGCTAAACTTTTGTTTAGCATTTATTACTCAGTAATAGCTTTGATGATTCTTCTTCCTCTTTGTGGTTACCAAACCCAGATGCTCTCTGTGTTCCAGTGTCTAGAAGAGTGATTTAAACATGAAGCACAGTTAAAAATAGTGGATTGTTACATCCTAGTTTTTATTAAAAATGGGTAAATTATGGGAAAAATAAATGATTTTTTAAAAAATCTATATATCTGGGCTCTAATGCCAAAAAAATCGCTATAGATTCGGACTTAGATATAACTCAGACTACATTTTTTAAGTAAAGTTAACTAAGGTAAATCTAAGCTAGTAAGTTTTCGACATCATTTGGAATTTGGCAGAATTCTACTAGTTTTGAGAGTGGAATCCATACCAGGAGGCTGTGTAATTTGGTTATCTGTGTTCCTACATTGTGAATCAGCATATTGCTGTCAAATTATGTGGTGAAAAGAGTAAATGGCAGAGAAGGAACTGAAGACTTTCCTGCTTCAGTATCTGAGAAATTTGTCTTTTACTCTTTATATATTTGAGTAGAGTGTTTATAGTTTAAGTCTATGCCTCAAATCAGAATTAAAGGTAATAAAAAATCATCTTAATATTTTGTATCTTTAATTTTAAAATTATTCTGGAGATAATGTCTAAGAGTGAATTCTCTTTTAATAATCTTAAAATTCAAAGGCATACTTACACTAATTTGTCTATAATTCTAACTTTATGGTAATTACTTTTTGGTTTGAGCTCCTCGGTCTCTCTGTGTTCAAGAATCACTCTTGTAGGCTTATGGTAGGTTTATGTGGTGCAGAGGATCAAAGCCAAGGAAGTCAAGTTCAGGAAAAAGCCCTGACAGTTGTACTATCTCTTGTTCTTATAATTTTAACATTAATATGTTCACCATCCAGCAATTTATATCCCTTTATCTGAATCCTTCTTAGTGAAACTGAGGATTTTTTAAGACTGTATTCCAATATCACTTGATCTCTTGATCACTTGATTCCCCGTTATTCATTGACTTACTCGAGCGGGTACCAGTAACAAATCCATTCATCCCTGTAGTGTGCTAGCGTAGCCCAATGGCATCTGTTCATTCTAGGAACATGCAGAGCCTCAAACCGATCATTCAGGGTCTTGACGAAGAAGTCTGACCATCTTGTAGGTGGGTGTCCACACGATCTTTTGACGTCCCTTGGAATCCAGTCAGTAATGACTCTAGTCCAGCGGTTGTCTGTAAACTTCATTACGTGTCCAGCCCATCTGATTTTTGATGCCTTGGCAAATGAGACAGCGTCCCTGATTCTTGAGCATTGACGGAGATCAGAACTCCGGATTCTATCTCTCATTGGAGTGAACCGTGATATTCCAAGAATAGCTCTTTTGATTCCTCTTTGAGAGACCCAAATAGCGTTCTCATCCTGTTTTTGTAGGGCCCAGGTCTCTGAGGCATATGTTAATGCAGGAAGAACAGTGGAATCAAAGAGATGTACTCAGAGCTGGAGGTTCTTTGTCCTCTTAGTTATTTCTTCAACGCTCTTGAAGGCATTCCAAGCCGCTCTCTTCCTCCTGCGCAACTCAGGTGCCAGGTCATTCATCATGTTGATTTCTCAACCTAGGTATATATAACTGTTGCATTCGGAGATGGTGGTTCCATTGAGAGCGAATGGGTCATCAGGAACGAGGTTGTTTCTCATAAACATTGTCTTCGTAAGATTCAGCTGTAGTCCAACCTTTCCACACTCATGGTCCAAGTCGGTCAGCATTTGTGCCGCTTGGTTGATGTTTGGTGTTATTAGTACGATGTCATCAGCAAAGCAGAGGTGGTGTAGTTGCCGACCATCTATCTTCACTCCCATTCTTTCCCATTCCAGTCATCACATGATGTTCTCGAGGGTGGCACTGAAGAGTTTTGGTGAAATGGTATCACCCTGCTGAACCCCTCTCTTGACATGGATGATTACTTCCTTGTAGAATGGTGAGATCCTGGTAGTGAATCCATAATAGAGCTCATGAAGGATCCTGATGTATTGAATTTGTACGCCCTGATTGGCTAGGGCTTCTATGACTGCTTCCGTCTCAACAGAATCAAATGCTTTCTTCAAATCAATGAACGTTAGACAGAGCAGCATCTTGAACTCCTGAGAAACCTCAATGAGCTTAGTAATCGTGTGGATATGGTCGATGGTACTGAATCCTTTTCAGAATTCGGCTTATTCACATGGTTGTCCTTCATCTAGTGTTCTGCTCATCCTATTCAGGATGACTCGAGTGAACAGTTTGTAGATGACAGACAATAGGCAGATTGGACGATAGTTGCCAATGCCGTGGATGTCTCCCTTCTTGTATAATAGTACAGATTTATACTCCAATATAAAAACATAAAATTAGTGTTTGGAGAGGTTTAGCAGGTAAGGTGCTAGTCTTGGACATAACTCACGCAGGTTCTGGCCCCAGCATTGTATATTATCCCTAAGCATGGAGACAGGAGTAAATACTGAGCACCTCTAGGTGTAGCCCTACCAAACAGAAAACAAACAAAAATTTATTCTAAATTTCTCAAAAAATTTACCCTTTGGATAATATATATCTTCTAGTTGAAATAATTCTAGTTGCTTCTCTAACAAATGACCACAAATTGATTAGCTTATAAAAGCAAAACATGGAAGTTCAAGAAATCAAGGTGTCATTAAAGCTATCTTCCAGTGGGAAACTTTAAAAGAATTATTTCTTTTCTTTTTCAGATGGTAGGTACCAACCACTTGCAATCAAAGTTTTCTTCTAACCAAGGCACCACTCCAATGTTTGCCTGTCCTCTGTCATCTTCTTCTCTTACTCTCCACTCTCATATTCCATATTGTTATGACTCTTCAATTACATTTGGCCCATCTAGATAATCTGTGATAACTTTTACATCTCAAAAATGTTCTTAAATCAGTCAGTTGCAAAGTTCCTTTTATGCTATAAAGTATTATATTAACAATTTCTGGGAGATGTTGACACTTTATGAGATCCACAATTTAGTATTATTAATCATATCTAAACTATAGGAAACTCTTCCCTCTGAAACTTCAAATAAAGCTCAGAAAAAAATATCTTCCAATTCATCACATTAGTTGATCTTTAAGAGTGCATAAATTGTATAAAAATTTAAATGACTTGTCAGTAGGTCCAGACATGAATTTATATTTACATATAAATGTACATGAATATTGCGGATTTACACTTTGCTCTAACAAATAAATTAGTACATCGCAGAGAACTTTGGAAGTCCAGAAAAGTCTCCATTGACGTGATAAAAAAATGCAGTTGAGACATAAAAGACCCCAAAGAATAGCTTTTCTGTGAATACCATTTTCTTCTTCCCAAAGAAAACAGCACAATTACTTTGAATATATACTTTGATTTCATAACATTAGTAAAATTACCTATTGCATCTGCTTTTAAATATGTAAAGAATACAGTTTGTTAAGAACAGGTGTGTAGGATAGTAACACCTTATAATTTTTCAGGGAAATAAAGATTATTCAAAAGAAATCAGGAATCATTGAGCTAAATACTTTTTACTGTGTATCCTCAACTGGCTGTGATAGAATTTTAGACTTCAACAAGTATTTTTGTGGAGTTATCAAAGAATATATTTTTTTAGTCTGCAAGTTTAAGAATCTGATGGCACAAGTAGAGATTAAGAGCTGAATGTGACTGCACTCGCAATTTCTGTAAATGTCATCTTTTACTCCCCTTTAACATCAACTTTTACCTTATTTTAAAAAGAAAATAATATTTTGACAATTGGCAAGTCAGAGTTATTCTCGACTCTTAATACAAATTTTACTGGACCTGAGTTTTTAAAATAGTCAAATATTTTCCTGAAAATTATAATTAGTTGCACACAACAATGCTCTCTGAAGTTGACTTGATAAAATAAGAAACTATTTCATTGCTTGATTACTTACTTTATCACAGGAGAAGATTTAGCATTATATTTTTTTTCTGTCAAAGTATGCTGTAGAAATGTACAGACGAACCTTGGAATAGGAGAGTATCCATCATTCTGACAAGTTCCAAACCTGCAGCCTGTTTTCTGGGAACATATAAAGATTAACTTTTCTGTAAGAGTTAACAATTCTATGAAGTTCTTGCTAAAAGAATGTGTTTATTAAGCTGGTAACAGAGAACAGACACAGTTTAAGTCAATTAACATTATTTTCGTCTCTTCTTTTTCATCAGAGCACTCCTCTACCTCATGGGGGCAACCTTACTGCTTTATCATTTTTTTTAACCCAGAATTGAATTGTCAAATGACTACTAGCTTTAACTCTGAGTTACCAAAAGTAAAATGTAAGTTGAATCCCATCTTTGAACAAATTAGTGATTACTAAAGCTGTTCCTTGATGAATTCCCCTCTCATCCAATAGCAATATATTTTTCTGTATTTAGAATCTCCTGTGATTAAAAAAAAAACACATACATTTAGAAATTTCTTGGTGTAAAGAGAGAAACCACTATTATATCTTATTATTACCATTGTTTCTGTATGAAGACCATTATCAAGAAAAATTCTAGAAAAAATACTATTCAAGTGGGTTTATATACATCACTCTACTTTTGGTCAAATTTTACAAACTGTTTTCTTCAAACCATGACTTCTCTTTGTCTTTAAAATCTCGTTAGAGTGCCAGAGAGATGGCTCAAAAGGATGGATTTTATGCTGGAGCCACTGGTACAAAATCTAGCACCATGAGATTTCCTAAAAATAGTCAGTAATGAATTTTTGATCTCTGAGCTCTAAGTACATCCTGAGTACCACTGGGTGTAGCCCAAAACACAAATATACAAGATGATTATCTGTACAAAATACCATGTTCTTCATAATCAGAATGACTAATTTTAAAATTTTCCACTCACAATTCAAGTATTTATAAATGCATTTTAAGAATTCATTGCATTTAACTTGAATTTTGAACTCCTACTGAAAATGGGTCGATCTTTAGCAGATGCTAGTTTTTAAAATCACAATAATAAAACATATCCTGCAGATACTTTAAGTACAAATAAAGACACTTCAGATTTTCCATAATTATATATAAAATTGTCTACCTAAACATAACAACAGTACACCACAAGATTCAAAGATGTTAATAAGAGTCCTCATTACTCTGCTACTTGGAACAATTTAGGCCAGAGGCATAGCTCATCTTAATTCTTCTGGAGGAAATTCACCAGAAGTAACAAAGAAAATTACTTTTTTCAAAGAGATTTTCACACTGTTGCAGATGTAGAGTCCAGCAACAATAAGATTATTGACAATTTTGATATAAAGTGTACCACATACAGGCTACTACTGAAGGAACAACAGCTCAGATACCAACTTCCCCAGGAAGAATATTTTAAAAATAAGTACCATAGTAAAAATGATAACAAATTTTTATTTTATGTTTTCTATTTTAGCAAAATATGCCTATGCATGACAGTGAAGAAGTACTTTGTTTTTCTAAAGTGTACTTCTGTAAGCCTGTTATTATAATCTGCTGAATTCAAGGACTTACTTTTGAATTATCAAGTGTAAAATGCAAAGTTATGTTAATCAGTAATAGATTTTTCATGATTAGGTAGTTCTCAAAATATTTTCAAAAGTAACTTAAGACCTAACATATTTTTAACTAGTTTTGAAGATTTGATAGCTTATTTTGAAAAATGTCTATATTTGCAACTCCTAAGATATTTACTCCTGCAAACACAATACAAAATTAAAATCCACAACTTTACTTGTTTGCATTTATATAGAAGAGTAGAAATGGTTGTAGAAGTTTTTTTTAAAAAAAATTATTTGGAATACTGTATTACTCCTACAAATTCTTCTCTTATCTTATAAAAGATACACAATCTGTCAACAACCAATATATAAGCATGCATATGTGTGTAAATATGAGCACACATAAGAACATATTCACATGTGAGTTTCTTCTATATCTTCAATGGTGAAATTAGTGTGGAATAAGATTAAAAACTCCGATGTTCAACAGACATTCCAAATAATAGATGCCAGAGTTTTATGTGCTAGTCTTAACCACATAGTAGCTTCATACTCTTTGCATTAAAAGCTAACACCAACTCATACATTTATCTTCTATATTTCAATACAATTCAAATCATCGCTTTGCTCAAGCAGGCACCAGTAATGTCTTTTTTTGTCCCTTCCACGTGCTAGTGTAGCCCAATGGTATCTGTTTGTTCTCGGAACATTAAGAGCCTCACAACAATTGTTCAGGGTCTTGATGAAGAAGTTGGACCATCTGGTAGGTGGGCGGCCATGCGGTATTTTGATGTCTCATAGAATCTAGTCAGTAACGGCTCTAGTCCAGCGGTCATCTCCAAATCTCATTACGTGTCCAACTCTTCTGATTTTCGACACCTTGGCAAAAGAGACAGCGTCCCAGATTCTTGATCGTCGATGGAGTGGGAAGGAATGGGAGTGAAGATAGGTGGTACCTAGGTACACATAACTGTTGCATTTGGAGATGGTCATTCTGTTTAAAGCAAATGGAGAGTCAGAAACAAAGCTGTTTCTCATAAACATTGCCTTCGTAAGATTCGGCTGTAGTCCGACCTTTCCACACTCACGGTCAAAGTCAGCCAGCATTTGTGTCGCTTGGCTAATGTTTGGTGTTATTAAAACAATGTCATCAGCAAAGCGGAGGTGGTAGTTGCCGACCATCTATCTTCACTCCCATTCCTTCCCATTTCAGTCATCGCATCATGTTCTCAAGGGTGGCACTGAAGAGTTTCGGTGAAATAGTATCACCCTGCCGAACCCCTCTCTTGACATCAATGGTCACTTCTTTGTAGAATGCTGAGATCCTAGTAGTGAATCCGTAATACAGCTCTCGGAGTATCCTGATGTATTAAGTTTGAATGCTCTGATTGGCTAGGGCTTCAATGACTGCTTCAGTCTCAACAGAATCAAAGGCTTTCTTTAAATCAATGAACGTTAGACAGAGTGGCATCTTGAATTCACCAGAAACCGCAATAAGCTTGGTTATCATGTGATATGGTCGATGGTTGCTGAATCCTTCTTGGAACCCAGCGTGCTCACATGGTTGCCCTTCATCTAGTGTTCTGCCAATCCTATTCAGCATGACTCGAGTGAACAGCTTGTAGATGATAGACAATAGGCAGATTGGGCGATAGTTGCCAATGTCGTGAATGTCTCCCTTCTTGTACAGTAGTATAGTCCTGCTGGTTTTCTATTGGGACGGAACCTTGCATTCAGACAGGTAGCATCTTCAGTGCCCTCTCCTACTGTGTCCCTTGCTAACTGTCTGGACTTGGGGTGTCACCCAGCACCCCAAGGCCCATATAGTAGATTCCAGAAGGGCAATGGAGAAGACTATCCATGACTTCTACTCAGATCTCTTTGATAGCCACTTCCACCTGCCCACATACCAAATTCCATAGGATGTATATGTCATTCCCGATGTTCTCCCTTCCAGAATCCAACCGCTATTTTCTCTGTCAAGAAGCAAACAGTACCCTGCCCAGACAGGTCAGACCCAAATTCCTGAAGATTCTGCCATCAGTACTCGTCAATACATTGGCTCAGCTCTTCACACGCTACCTGTTTGAATGCAAGGTTCCATCCCAGTGGAAAACCAGCAGGACTGTACTACTGTACAAGAAGAGAGACATCCATGACATTGGCAACTTTCACGTGATCTGCCTGTTGTCTGTCGTGCACAAGCTGTTGACTCGATTCCTCCTAAATAGGATTGGCAGAACAATAGATGAAGGACAACCATGCAAGCAAGCCGGATTCTGTAAAGGATTCGGCACCATCAACCATACCCACATAATAACCAAGCTCATTGAGTTTTCTCAGGAGTTCAAGATGCCACTCTGTCTAATGTTCATTGATTTAAAGAAGGCCTTTGATTCTGTTGAGATGGAAGCAGTCATCAAAGCCCTAGCCAAATAGGGATTTCAAACTAAATATTCAGGATCCTCCATGAGCTGTATTGCGGATTCACTACCAGAATCTCACCATTCTACAAGGAAGTGATCATTGATGTCAAGAAAGGGGTTCATCAGGGTGATTCCATTTCACCGACACTCTTCAGTGCCACCCTCGAGAACATCATGTGATGACTGGAATGGGAAGGAATGGGAGTGAAGATAGATGATCAGCAACTACACCACCTCCGCTTTGCTGATGACATTGTTCTAACAACAAACATAAGTCAAGCAGCACAAATGCTGACCGACTTTGACGGTGAGTGTGATAAGGTCAGACTGCAGCTGAATCTCACGAAGACAATGTTTATAACAAATGGTCTCATTCCTGATGTTCCATTCGCTCTCAACGGAATGAATATCTCCGAATGCAACAGTTATGTGTACCTAGGTTGAGAAGTCAACATGACGAATGACACTGCACCTTAGTTGCGTAGGAGGAAGAGGGTGGCTTGGATTGCCTTTAAGAGTGTCAAAGGCATTTGCATTTTGCCTTTAAGAGGATGAAAAACCTTCGGCTCCGGGCACATCTTTTTAATCATACCTTCTTCCTGCATTAACATATACCTCAGAGACTTAAGCCCTATGAAAACAGAATGAGAACACTATTTGGGTCTCCCAAAGAGGAATCGAAAGAGCTATGCTTGGAGTATCATGCTTCACTCAAATGAAAGTAATAATCTGGAGTTTTGACCTCTGTTGTCTATAAAGAATCAAGGACACTGTCTCCTTTGCCAAGACATTGAAAATGAGATGGGCTGGACATGTGATGAGATTTGGAGACGACAGCTGGGCTAGAGGATTATCAACTGGATTTCATAGGACATCAAATGATCGTGTGCTGCCACCAACGAGATGGTACAGACTTCTTCCTCAAGACCCTGAATGATTGGTTTGAGGCTCTTCATGTTCCTAGAATGAACAGATGCCATTGGGTTACACTAGCACGTGACAGTGACGAATGGAGACGTTACTGGCACCTGCTCGAGCTAATTGATGAGTAACAGGATGTCCAAGTGAAGTTGTTTATTGGTTTGTTTTACCATATTCAGTATCTTTAAAGGAATAATTAGAACATCTAAATCTATATATTTAAAATCAGCTCACCTTTCAAGAGTCCAAAATAGAACTTAAAACAATAATACCATTTAAAATATTTTTTCTATAAGAATGCTATTTCAGATATGATAGTAATTGTTAGAGAAGTATAGAATAATTTTTCAATATTACAGTGGTAGGGCATTTACCTTGTACTTGGCTGACCCGGTCAACCCAGGCTCGATTCCTTTGCCTCTCTCACAGAGCCCAGCAAGCTACTGAGAGTATCTCGTACCTACGGCAAAGCCTGCCAAGCTACCCATGTCCATATGCTAAACATAGTAACACGTGTCACAATGGAGACGTTACTGGGCCTGCTTGGGAAAATCAGTGAACAAGGGGAGGACAGTGACAGTGACAGTGACATAAATGCACAACAAAGAGAAAGTTCTACCTTCAAAGAGCCACTTGGCATAACAGTTTCATGTACCATTCTAGTAAGGAATGGGGAAGCAGAGGGTGTTTCAAAAAAAGTTTCAAATCACAGTAGGACAATTACAATGAGCAGAATATATTAATATGAACAGAGATCACATTAATATATTCTTAGGGTTTAAGGATCTAGTTGGAGTTGAAGATACACAGGGCATCATCAAAAGCTCATACCTGAATGAAAAGGAAGATTTCTTTTTGTCTCAGGACAAGAAGTTATTTTACAACTGGAAACAAGTTATTCACCAAATTTAGGGTCTTACCCTCCCAGGAAGTTGAGAGAGAGCAACATCTGTTTTCTTCATTCAATTTTAACAGGTTGGTTACTATAATCTCAAGATAGTCCTGAGTTGTAAGCTGTAAGAGGCTTTTTAAAAATTATTTTCATCTCAATGGGGAAGAACAATAACGATCAGCAACAAGTTTTTGTAAAGTAAATCCTCCAAATAAAAGTAGGTTAGAGACCTAGAGAAAGGATAAATATGCGTAAATTTTGATCAACTTGAGGGAAATTCTAAAGTCATCTTGATCACATATCAATTTCAAATAGACGAAAATCAACTTAAATGTTGTATAAGCATTTTATTTGACACTTTCTTATAAAGAATATCAAGCTTATAGAAATGAGATGACTATGTTCTCGACTTTTTGTTATATTTTCTGGATTATTTTCATCAAAATGATGTTTCTGAGAGGAAGACCTGTTTCATAAAAGGGGTAGATATGAAGAGAAATGATTGAAAGTAAATCCTGGTGTGTTAGTCTTGAATGTAACCTCAACATAATTAGAAAGCGGGAACTAATGAACACTAGAGTTAAACTGATGATATACAAAACAAGGAAGCACAAAGGGACAATATAAACAGAGACTGGTTCTTTTAAAGAATAAATACGATTGACAACCCATAGCTAGATTCATGAAGAAAAGAAGAGAGAAAACCTAAACAAATAGGATCAGAGAGTAAAGGGAGAAATTACAATAGAAATTTCAGAAATAAAAAAATATCACAAGGATCATAAGAAGTTTCTAAGAACAACTCTCTGTCACCAAGGTTGAGAATCTAAAAGAAATGAATGGATCATAGAAACTCTCAGGATTAAACCAAGAGGGAATAAAAAACATGAATGGTCATTGAAGAGTAAGGGAATTGAAACAATACTGAAAAATGTCCCCTAATCCAGACAGGTTCACTAGTGATTTCTACTGAAACTTCAAAGAAGACTTAGTGACAAAAATCCTCATGTTCTTAAAAAATGTGGAGGAAAAATAAATTCTCCCTAACATCTTTTATAAACTAATATGAAAAGCATACAGAAACAGTAGTAAGAAAGAAAATCATAGATTGAAATTCTTCATGAAAATTGTTGCAAAGGTAATAAAATAAAAACTAAGCAGCTGTGTAAAAGGACATTATATAATTTCCCACTACCTGGATGGCACAAGAGGACTTCATGCTGAATGAAGTCAGATAGAAGGAAAGGGACAGATATAGAATGATCTTTCTCATGTGTAGAATTTATAGATATACAGGAAGGTAGTAACACATGGCCAAAGGCGACAGCACTGAAGACTTGGGTGGAGAAACTGAGCTTGGAAAGGGGGAAGGAGTGAATTAAAAGAAACTTCGGATTCTTGGTAGAGGGAAGTAAATTCTGGTGGCATGTGTGGTATTGGATTAGTGGATACATGGAACCACTATTAATGGTATTGTAAATCATATTGCCTCACTAAGAATATACTAAAAACTCAAGAACCAGGGGGTTGAATAGGTCATAATGAAAATTGTATTTTGATGAGAAGGATTTATATTCAGGAAATTACTCAACGGTAAAAAGAAATACACATAGCCACAGAAAATGTTAATTGTAAAATTGAATGAGTCATAAAATGGAAATCTAAGTAAGAGCAGCTAAATAGGTAAATGGCTAGCAGCTTTTGGGTTATTTTCTCTAAAAGTCAGACTACTACCTACATTTATTCATTTGTTTAAAATTTCATATTTATTTTCTTTTGCTTTTAAAGCACATCTGGGGTTCTCGGGTAGTCACTCCCTGTTAATCTTCAGGGACCACACAGTGTTGGGGATTGAATTCAAGTACTGGTGATTGAATTCAAGCCTTTTTCATGCAAATCATATGTTCAGTCTGAAATACTATATCTATAGGCCTCAAATTGTCACAATTAATATAAGTTATGATTCCAATAGGCTTTCTTTCCCTTACTAGTTAAAACAAGATTCAACTGCTCCAAACTTTTCAAAGAATGATTTTAACCTTAGCAATCTCTATATCACCTGATTAGATATTGTAGTAACAAAGAGACCTGCTGAATCAGATGGAAGAGAGGAGAGAGGAGAGACAAAGAAAAGTGGAGGAGTGAAACTATAAAAAGGGATGAACAAAATAAAATAAGTGCTGGAAGAGACAGATAGATTGTGAATTTTATCTAGGTATTAGTGATTTTTAGAATGGGCAAATATATTTCTCGAAGATGACATATAAAAAGTATATGCATTTTTCATGTTTTTAATCTAAAGAGGTAAAGAATCTAATTCTGTACAACACTTTACCATTTTGTAATTTTTTTAAAAAAAACACTGATAGTTAACCTGAGATCTACAGTGGCTTGGACTCTTGTAATGATGTCATAGCTGATATGGAAAAATTCAAGAACTAGAAGTAAAGAATTAAAGTAGATGAGAATATTTTAAAAAAATCATTAAATGCACTTTAATTTAATAAACATAATTCATTTACAATTTTTAACATACTCCAGAAAACAAACAACTACAAAGCCTCTTGTGACTTATAAAATAATTCTTTCCAAATTCCTTCTTCAAAATAATACCATAACATGGAAATATATTTACTTTCATTTATACCTTGAGAGGACTTAGTTTGGAGAGAGGGCTTTCTCCTAGAAGCTTATTAA